AAGTCTTTTTTTTTGCATGAGTAATGGCATTGATCATTCGACCCGTGAAGATCCGGGTCAGAATTGATCTTCAGTAACCCATGCTTGTCGTAAGAGGCGACTTACGGGATCGGGTGGTCAGGCTCGCTGACTTGGTTGACACATTTCATCGGTTCCCAGTTGCACAGATCGATGCTCATGATGATGATCATCGGATTGTCTGGTCCAGACTTGATTCATCACATCAAAGACTCGGGTTCGAATCCCCAAATGGGTACAATATGTGAAGCCCATTTCTGGAGACCCTGTCATGATCTTGCTGGAATATTGCTAAAAGCGGCATAAAACCCAACTCACTCACTCACTTCAGACACGCCATATTTTGGATAAGAGTTATTTATTGAGGGATTGGGTTGGAGAGAGATTAAGATTGGTCATGAAAATATGACACAATCATCCTGCTTTATTTTTTTTAAATATATATATTAAACCTTTACTTGACAGAATTTTGTTGCTTTGAAAAAATGTTTCATGCATTGGAGGGTGGTATAAAATAAATTAGAGGTGTGAAGATACAGAAATTTCACGATACAATATGTATCGCGATATCTGGAAACAATACGATTCGATTCAATGCATATCACGATATGCTTTCTTGAGTTATTTTCTTTAAAACATTATATAATAATTATAATATTATATGTTAATAGCAAGAAATTTTGACATAACCGTCAATATCTAATGAAAATTAACAATTTTAAGGTCAACGATACATATCACGATACGAAAAAACGTATCAATATATTTATCGTCAGATAAAGTATCATGATTATCGATACTACGATATATTGTCACAGCTCTAAAATAAAGCTCCATAATTTATCATGTCTATGTCCACCAAAGTAGAACCAACTCTTAGACCAAAACCAGACTACCCCCACAGTCCCTTCCTATAACTGACCAGTCCCTAATGAGAATGTTATTTTTAGTATTTGTAAGTACAGTATGCAATTAGTTCCTTATATACAGTTCTGGAAAGACCTATATACAATTCTCCAAGATTTGTCGTAATGATGTCGATTGCACCACATGAGAAGAGGTATCGATCGCCTATTACAGCTTATTCTAGTGTTATAACCTGTCCTGTTATTGATCTGTCACATGACATCGTCAATGTCACCTGAATGAAGGCGTTATATGTTGTTACCACACCACAGCCTGGAATGTATTACATGAAAGATGAAATTACGATATTAACCTTGCACATTGTAGGATTATTATTCTACATTCAGATATTATTAGTCTGCAGCCGTCAAAGAAAGACACAAAGATGGCACTGAGAGTAATCAATTTCGAAGTTAGTTGCAATGGACGAGCTTTTACCCATATAGAAGAATGGGATTGTGGGATATGAACGTGATGTGTGAGTTATGGTTGATTACTAATTAGCAAGATACATGTTATTGATCACGGCTTTGAAATGACTTATCTTTCCTGTTTACGACCTAGTTCCTGAGAATGATGTAATTGGATGTGGAGATTTTATTGTGGTATTCATTTTGATGGAGAACATTTAAGAGGGATTAGATGCGGATATGTTTATCTGCTGTGTTTGAACTTGCTAAAAAATATTAGATTAAATCTTGATTTTTGATCTGTGATGGATGTAAAAGATATGTGGAGAAATAGAAATATTAACGGAGAGATATTGGTGAAAACGGCTTGATTATTTCGTACAGGGAATCTGATGACATACTTTATGATATCCAGATGCAGAACATACCAGCAAAGCCATTAAGACATGTTTCAAAGAATTTATGGAAATTATTAAAATTAATGAGATATTTTGAGGAATAGAAGCGTTGCAGACTTACTGTATTATGAGGTGAGGTGAGGTGAGGTGAGGTGAAATTGGATTTAACGTCGTGCTTGAGAATATTTCGCTCATATGACGACATGCATGTGTGTGTGTGTATGTGCAGCTGCTTGTACTAGCCCAGACTTAAGCTGGTTTTATATTGCTAGCCCACTGAGATACCATGCCGCAGTGAAGATGGATACCCCACTAAGACACATTATACTGACTCCGAGCCGACCAGTCCTTGTTGTACCCATTAATGCTGAGCGCCAGGCAGGGACCAACAAGTACCATATTTTAACGTCTTTTGGTATGACGCTGTTGGGGATCGAACCCGCGACCTTCCGCTCTCTGGGCGGACGCTCTAACCACTACACCACGGAGGCGGTCTACTGTATTATGAAGCATCATTGATAGGAAGGGATATACAGAATGCACAACAGAAAAATTTTAACAAAAAAAATACAACAGTTTAGTTTAATGTTTGTTCAAAATTTGATGAAGATTTTTCATAAAATAAGAGCAAGTTGGTCAGATCTTGATTTATTTGAATGTTGCTAAAAATTTGCTGTATGAGAAGAAAAGTATTTTCTGATGTAATTTTTTGCCATATCGTAAAGCATGGAGTGGTGAGCTGCTTGAATCAGGGGGGAACAGTAGAAATAAGATGGATGTGAAATATATCTTTATGACCTATGTGCAGAATCCGATAATGGTAGTAAAATATGATGGTTTCAAAGCATAAATAAACTTAATGGATTCTTCTGTGGAGTCAGTATCAGATCAAGAAAACAGTGCAGCATAGTATTACTAGTTTGGAGATGCTGTGGGAAGGTTCCTGTTGTTAAGGCAGTTTGGGGAATGGGCCTTTTAGCAAGTCAAAATGTAACCCAGTTCTCAAGGTCATTCTGATAAATGGAGAAGCGCGCGAAGTGTGCTGTAAGCCCCTGCTAACGATTATTGTTTTTGCATAATTGCAGCCATCGCTTTTCTGTTTTGTTGTCTCGGAAGTGTTGTAAGATGAGGCAACAGAAAAAAGACATGACATTCAGTAGTAATTGTTTTTATTGATCATGGCCAATGGCTGGGCCGCCAAACACCCTCTCTCTTATGCCTCAGAAAATTGCCAGACAGTCTGGTTCGCGTGGTATCATTTGAAGTCTTCGTTACAAAATACATGGAGGAAACGGTTCTGTAGGGCTTTGGGAGTGTGAAATTAATTCGTATTAGAGTATTGTCAAAACTGAACTTCAATTGATGTATGAAAAATTGCTCCAAAGAGTAAGATTTAAGTATTTAAACAGAACATAAAGTCGGATCTTGAACTGATTTCCGATTTTTAGAGATTTGAGTTTTGACCGTCAGCTTTCACTTTTTTGAAGATATATGACTTCAATGACAAAGGAAAATTGGCTACATGTTACTGAATTGTATAATCAGTTGAGCAGACCTCTTCCCCCATAACCTTGAATGGAAAAAACATTAACTTACCGATTTTCGATTCTTATATACAATTCTCCACCCTTTGAAGATGAAACAGTTGGACAGCAAATATCACCTTCATGCTGCTGATGAAATATATAGCGTGTCAGGCAGACATGAACATGCAAACACACTGAGAATGTGCACGCATGCACATGGTCTTTTTCACACTCACACACATGCATGCACACACAGAGATACATACACATGCATTCGGTCTTTTTCAGACACACACACACAAGTCTTACCTCAATATTTGACATACAACGCTCTCGATACACTCTAAAGTTAAGATTTAAAAGATATGAACCAGAATTTGACACTGAATATGCCACATATCCAAATTTGATTGCATGAAACTTTGTTTCCATGATTTCCACAGAGACTAACCCAAATCACTAATCACAACTTTACAAAGAGGATTGCATAAGAAAATTGATCAGGTGAAGTTTTAATAAGATTTACATGCTTGCACACACAAAATCAACCTACTAATGTCATCCATTCTTACATGAAAGTATCTCTATCAGGTTAAAACCGGTTGTCAACAACCCATCCTTGTTCTGTTTTAAGGTCAAGTTTAGAATTTGCCTCCAACAACCTATTCTTGTCAAGAGGTGACAAACTTGACCAAGAGGTTGGGTTCACTAAAGTGGTTGATGCATGTCACATTTTCCCAAAGGCGTAGATCGATTGCTTATGATGTCAATCACCAGATTGTCTGATCTAGACAGGATTGTTTACAGACTGCATTGATACAGTGAGAATATTGAGTGCAAGATTACAACAAATCATTTTAGTGAGTGAGTGAGTTAGTTTTACGCCACTTTTAGCAATATTCCAGCAATATCACGGTGGGGACACCAGAAATGGGCTTCACACATTGTACCCATGTGGAGAATCAAACCTAGATCTTCGGTGCAACGAGCGAACACTTTAACCACAAGGCTACACAACTGCCCCAACAAGGAAATGAAAGCGATATTCATACTCATAATATATCTCTGCTGGAGCAGAGTTTTATCATTTAGCGGTGGCACCAGTTTTTGAAAAAGAATGGTCAGTGTATTCCGAATGGCATCCATTAGAAACACATGCAAAGGCAAGCCATGTGGGGAATCGAACCCGGATCTTTGGCATGACGAGTAAACGCTAACAAACAAACAAGATCACCAAATAAGAACATTAAGTAATCTTAATCGAAGTTAAACACAGGACCAGACACTTAAAATTTGCTTTCCATACAGTTTATGGTGACCTTGAACAATTCAGCCAATCAGATGGCCTTCATCCCTGCTTCATTCTTGCCTAAGCTTCTCTCTGCACACAATTAACCTTTCAGTCGAGTTACGACCAGTTTCTGCTACTGTACGAGCATACAGCATGAAGTTTGCCAACAAGATATTCCTGGAGCAGTGTAGGAGGTGCTTTGTTGTGCCAGTTACCTGATCGCTGGCTTCAGATCCAGTTCCAACAAATATTTGCAGTTATATAGTTGTGATGGAAGAGGCAGAATATTCCTCATGGATGGAGTCTGGGTGTTTGATGTTGCAATGAGGACATTGATTAAAAGTGCTAGTGGTGAGATATATTTCTGCGGGAAGATTCCATGGTGCTTTGTAACTATGACTGAAAAATGATAGATAGTTTTAAGAAGTGGGTGCGTTTTATTGATCTGTCTGTGCACTTGTTTTGCTGACTTGGCTATTTCTTTTCCTTCATTGATTTAAATTGAGATGGCAGCCACATTTAATATACATTAAACTTCCAAGAAGTTCAGAATTTTTAGGGCTTTTTCTATTTTTGTTGAGGGGGGATTCTCATCACTTAATTGGTCTGCCTGTGGGGATCTGTGGTAGAACTGTTCATGAGCAGCCTTCAAAAGATGTCATAGGAAGGGAGATAATGCATCGTGTTGTCAGACTTGATGATTGGGCGTAAATAACCTCTTATTGGCACACGTCGCCCTAAAACTATAAGACCAACTAAGACTTGGTGATGGTGTGTGGATGGTTGTCATAATATCGACCACTATATTGCCATTTCCGGACTTCTATATTTACAGCCTAAACACCAGAAATAGACCTCACAGATTGTAACCGTGTGGGGTGAGTGAGTGAGTTTAGTTGTATGCCGCTTTTAGCGATATTTCAGTAATTTCACAGCAGGGGACACCAGAAATGGGTTTCACACATTGTACCCATGTGGGGAATCAAACCTGGGACTTCAGTGTGATGCTTTAACCTTTTGGCTACCACACTGCCCTTTCTATATGTCTAGAGTAAATTTTAGGCAACAATAACAAAATATAAAAAAAAAATAAGTGGGCTTCAGTCGTGCCCTGCACTGAGGAGCGATTGAGTATAGTTTTACGCCGACCAGAAATTGGCTTGACACATTCTATCCATGTGGGAAATCGAACCCAGGTCTTCGGGATGGTTAGCGAACGCTTTAACCACTAGACTACCCCACCGTCCGAGCTGCCTGGGGAATTGAACCCAGGTCTTTGTCATGACAAGCAAAGCCCTACTCTGAAACACACATGGCACATGAGATGTCTTTAAAGGGTGTGACTTTGCTCAAAATATGCCTCTGTTCTCCTAGCCTTGAATGGGAATATCAGGAAATGGGACTTTGACCTCCCTTCATCTCACAGACTGCCTGGAGTCTACGATCCCCAGGGAGATGAAAATGAACACACACTGGTCCATTGACTTTGTTGATAATAGTCTAAACCAAACGTATATATATTGCAGGAATATTTGTATATTAGCAATATTCCAGCAATATCATGGCAAGGGACACCAGAAATGGGTTTCACATTGTACCAATGTACAATGAATCGAATTCGGGTCTTCAAGGTGACGAGCAAACGCTTTAACCACAGCACAATCCCACCGCCCTGTCAAAACATATTCAGTATGGACTGTTATGTATACAGCTTGTTCATTCAGTTTATCATATTGTAGTGTTACGAAACATGGATAGTGTTGTGGACATACAAATGGTACAAACATACAAATTTCATGGGTCTTTGACTGACAATATGGATAACAACTTCTTTATTTCGCGAGTGCGATATTATGGCAATTATGTTGTTTCCTTTGTCAATTACAATGTATGTAGTTTCATTGTTATACACAGTATAAATATGCAGCTCCTCCACTTCATGTATCACTCTTGCTTGACAACGGTACAAGAATCTGTATCGAAACGTCGCACTCATGAAATAAAGAAGTTGTTATCCATAAAAACTTGTTCCATATTGTACGTCTCAACTTCTAAAATGCCACTCAAACAAGTCTTTGACTGAGTTTAGTTTTACACCGCTTTTAGCAATATTTCAGCTATTTCACGACGGGGGACACCAGAAATTGGCTTCACACATTATATCCATGTGGGGAATCGAACGCTTTATCCACTAGGGTACCCCACCGCCCCTTCTATGTTTAAAGATTCTTTTATTTTTAACTTTGCTATCTCCACCATCAAAGATCTGAATAAATAATGACAATAGCAAGTAATGAACGATGGAGTATATGACAAATAACAGGATACACAGATAGATAACCGGAGGAAGTCTGGATGGAAATTATGCCAATCAATGTCTTCCACAATGCAAGATTATTAAAAAATGATGAATGAAGGCCATTCGTGGAACCCATTTATTATTGGTATGAATACCAGCTGATAAATGTATCCTTGTCAGTTGTCTGTGTTGTACGAGAGATCTTTGCCATCCATTGACGACAATGTGGACACCAAGTTACTTAGTTATTATTATTATGATTATTATTTTGTTAAACTCAGGTTATTTATTGCATATATTTTGATAAATATATGAATATAGATAGTATGACGAATTCATAATTAATCAGGTTGTCAGGAGCTGAAAGACGACTCAAAACCCACTGATATTGACAAGCGTCAATTTCTTTGTTCTGTTAGCAGAATGCAATGGATTTCTTTTAACCTTGTTAACAAATCTGTGTCAGAAACAAGGGCAAGGTACTTTCTCTCCATATATTTACCCACCACTGTTGCATTTTATGGCACAAAATAATAGTAATTGTATTTACCCTCCTTCAAGAAGCAAAGGCAGATTAATGGCAAGCTTGACCAACCCACACACCCTGCTTTTAGAATTGACCGATCCAATAATCAATGCCCAGTGGTACCAACTGGACCAACACACAGCCTAGAAGGGGGGCAAACGGTGGTTGTTGTCATAAATATTCAATAATCGGCACGCAAGGACTGATGAGGCTCAATATTGATTGTTGTCGATGGCTCAATGTGGCGACCATGCTTTCTCTCAGGCTTGTTGCAGGTTCTAGGGAGTCGTAGATTTCGGCCTCAGATTTTGAGCCTTACTTGCTTCTACCAGCTCTTTGAGGTCATTTACCATTTCCGCTGTTGTCTGACAGTCTTCTGCAGACCTCAGTAAACCAGGAATTTGGATTCAGGCGATTGTACCCTGCTGAATTGGTTCCATAGGATTTGCAGGTAATTTTCATTCATTATTGTATATAAATATAACACATGAGTCTTTGTGACAACACGTGTCAGTAATTGATGCTGGTTGATGTCTTGTAATGCTTGTCTATATCACATGGAGGTCGAGTATATACACACCGAGCGGGATATAAACGTTGTCAATTTCAACCTGGCAGCTATCAATCTGTATTCGATCACGGTTGTTCATTGATAATATTTCCGAAACAGGTTCTTCATTGAGGCTTAATATTGGTCAGTATGTTCAAGGAATTCAATTTTGTGGTGCCAAGTGTGCAAATTTAGTTCGAATTGATCTGCAATGTATTTTTCAGTTACTAGGACACTCAGTGACATTTGGGTTTTGTTGTTTGTTATTTGAGTGTACCTTGTTTGTATTGTAGCCTGGAGCATCGGTAGGATGTCAATACCTGTTGATGAGGCCGGTGATGATATTCTGATATGGTGGTTGTTCATCATTTGTAATCCATTGATTCTTTTGTCATTTTCTACAAAGGTTATACCTGTCTCACTGTTTTAAAATGTGAAATGTCTGTTTTTAATCATCGTTTCACCAAAGAAACGCTGACTTTAAAAAACCACAGTTGGCATTTCAAATGTTTATTTTGTAATTGAATGTGTGCATGTGTGTTACCAAATAAGGCACCTAAGAGTTTCATATTTACACTTTTTACCTTATAAGGCATTATGGAGGATTGAATATACATATACTGTACACACATTTTATCCTAGTATGCATTATAGTGGGTTTATCCAATATTCATTGTTACCATAACAGGTGTTAATTTACCGATCAGGTGTTAAGTGACGACACCTGGTTGTGATACAGTTGTGGATGTAGTGTCACACTCAATGCTGTAACCATCACACACAATGCTGTAACCATCACACACAATGCTGTAACCATCACACACAATGCTGTAACCATCACACACAATGCTGTAACCATCACACACAATGCTGTAACCATCACACACAATGCTGTAACCATCACACGCAATGCTGTAACCATCACACGCAATGCTGTAACCATCACACGCAATGCTGTAACCATCACATACAATGCTGTAACCATACAACCCATGAAGATCCGGGTTAGAAATGATCTTCAGTAACCCATGCTTGTCAACTGATGGATCATTTGGTCAGGCTCTCTGACGTGGATGACACATGTTATCGTATCCCAATTACGAAGACCAATGCTCATGATGTTGATCACTGGATTGTCTGGTCCAGACCCGATTATGTATAGACTGCTGCCACATAGCTGGAATATTGCTGAGTGCGGCTTTAAGCAACAACTAGACCAAACCAAACTAAAATGAAAATTAAATTTGAAAATAAGCAACTGATGTTGTGTTTGTAAGTATGGTTTTGCGATGCTTTCAGTGCGATGCGACTAAACTCACTCACTCACTCACTGTAACCATACCCTATAGTATACCACAGAAATAAAACCATAGACATGACGGGACAAGAGATTGTGGTATGCAGAAATTCTTCGTGTCTGAAGTGAGCCAAATATGGCCTTATTGGTATTGTTCTGATTTCCCAAGAAACGTGATGGATTTGTCACTTCTTGAAAACAACGCTGTTATTACTTTAGGAGATCCACGTGGACTTGTTTGTGCCTTGTGAAGATAGGCTTAGAAGTGGTCTTCAGCTTGTCCAAAGAAGCAACTAACAAGACCAGGTGGTTATCACATCCCAAGTTCATAGATGCTCATGATATTAATCACTGGATTGTCCAACCCAGTTTGATTATCACTGGCTTGCTGCTATGTTGCTGAAATGTTGCTGAAATGTTGCTGAGTCCAGTGTTGAAAAATTACCAAACCTACTTAGGTCAATATTACTGTATCTGTGCATACTATGAACAATTTGATTGTAATGTCTTAGCTGTCTGTAGCGGATGGAAAAATTTAGCTTTATGTCAGACCAATTTTATTTCTTGTTTTACGGATCCGCCGGTTGTATTTTTTTCAAGAATAAGAAAAACAATAAAAATTAATTTTACCCGGCCAAAAAAAAAGTGCAAGAAAATGGTTTTAGATTGTCTTTTGCCCCATATACACTTCATAAATTGCCAAAAGTAAAATACTTTTTGTATTTAAAATGAATATTACTTTGACTGGTGATTTTTATTTTTTTTATTTTTCTTTCCCTCCTGCTTTTAGGTTTTCTGAGGATATAAAACAAAAAATAAAATTGGTCTGGCCTTAGCTGCATATTTTGTTGCTTGTGGCTATGTGTGATTTTGACTTTTTTTATCAGTGCTTGTTGCTTTTTGTCTTGAATGATTATTTCATACTTTACTGAGGTGATCTTGAATCAATGTTTCAGCTTTCTGAAGTGATCTCGAACTTCAGTCAATGTTTCATAGTCAACTATCGTGACCTAAGAGCTTCTATCAATGTTTCAGTGTGCTCAGTGACCTTGAATGTTTCATTCTTTGCTGAATTGGCCATGACCTTGAATCAATGTTTCATACCTTGCTCAGGTGACCTTGAGTGTAAATCAGCGTTCATGTTTCAGTATGTAAGTATTCTGCTTCATGTCGGTATGAGGAAAGTTTTAGTTTATGCAGGACTTCAGATTCCAGTGATCATTATCAAGCAACAGGAAGAGTTTTGTACCAGACATCAAAAGCTGTGATAATTGTGCATCCAAGAAGAAGAATTAGTTCAAAGATTATCATAATTCAGATGCAATTTTAAGCGATGATGAAAGGAGCCATCTGGTCTTCTAAGCATGTTCCGTGCAAATGACTGGTTTTGGGATTGACAATTATCTCTTGAATAACATCTGGCTTTTCCTAGAACAACGTAAAATGTTAACATCATTACTGCCGTCTGCCAGATAGCTGTTAACTTCCTTGTTCCCGATTTTCATGCAATGTGTCATTGACAACTGGTCCATTTTGATGCTTTTGCCCTAATTACCGAGGTATGCAAGCAAAACGTGTCAAAGGATGTCAGTGTGTCTTGCTTAATATTTTCTTTGCCCCAAACAGCATAAGATCCCATGAATATTGTTTTAATCTTTAGAATCGTTTTGGGTTCATCAGAAAATTTTGAATCTACAAAGATTTGGAAACAAACTTTGAAAATGTAGTTTTGAGTTATGGGATTATTATTATTATATCTGGGAGTGCTGCCCGAAGTAAAGCAAATAATTGGATGAAACCAGTAAGCATGGGTTTGGTTCAGAGTGAGTGAGTGAGTGAGTTTGGTTTTACGCCACTTTTAGCAATATTCCAGCTATATCACGGTGGGGAACACCAGAAATGGGCTTAACACATTGTACCCATGTGGGGAATCGAACCCGGGTCTTCAGCGTGATGAGCGAACGCCTTAACCACTAGGCTACCCAACCGCCCCTGGTTTGGTTCCTGTCAACAGCAAAGAGCGAAATTTTAGACATCTAAAATATCCTTGTGTATCCATGGCGCTGCAATTGTATATTCATAAAAGAAGGACGAGAATCTCTGACATGGATAAATATCATGTTCGATCAATATATATTATCTAGATAAGATCCAGTTTGAGAGATAAAGTCAAAGGTTGTCGAAACTGACAGATGAAAGTGGGTCGATGCTTTTGTCGAAATGGGAAATAATGGGATGTTTGACGGTCAGATAGAATTATCTTTGACACATTGATCAAATAATGCTGATGTCAGCAATGAAGTAATTTGGTTCTTGGGTGGAGAAAGGATGTATTTGAAGACTGTGTGCTTTAATGTCCTTATCTGCAGTATCAAGCACTCCAATAAGCACCCCTTACACAAGGTGACCAACTTCAAAACCAATCAGGGTGGTGGGAATCTAAGTGGTTTAAGCATTTGCCCGTCATGCTGAAGGCCTGAGTTCAATTCACAACATGGGTACTATATGTGAAGTCCTTTTCTGGTGTACCCCACAGTGATATTGCAGGAATATTGCTAAAAGAAGCATAAAACCTTACGCACGCATGCATGCATGCATGCATCTCACTCACTCACTCACCTACCTCACTCACCTACCTCACTCACCTACCTCACTCACCTCACTCACTCACTCAAAACCAATTTGTAAATAATCATCGTGAGAGCCCTGTGTATGACAGTCCATCTCTTTGTGTGTATACGTAGATGTGTTTACAAAAACAACCGTGTTGAAGGAAATATTATCAGTTCCCTAGTAACATTTATCAGAAGGGTATCAGTGTTATTGACATTCAAACAAAGCTCTTTGCCATAATCATTGAACTTCTCTTCTAATGTTTTGGGTTTAATCAGTGCCCTGTGACATTTCTCTAACAAACTACCGCTGTTAAAGCTAAATTTACCTTATGTATAGTAGTGGGTTTTATGACACAGTCGATAGTATTCCACCTGTAAGATAATAACCTGTAAATAAGTATCACAATCAAACCGGTGGTTGATAGCATAACAACCTTGTCATCAGCCTTCTATGACAAACACATAGTGTTGACATGCACTGGAACATTTCTGTCCTCATTTTGATACAAGATCAGGAAGCTTGGGATTTCTTTCCTTCATAATACCAGGATTACAAGTCAAGCTCCTTACAGTGATGGCCCGTTTGTGGAGCTTCCTATGCTCATCCTGATTACAACCAGTCACAGCTCCACGCAGTGCTAGGCAGTCACAAACATGCATGGAGTTCAACTCACAAAAGACAAATTTTCTTTTAAGTGTAACTATAGTGGCATTGAATATTATTCCTTGGCGACATCATTTTGTTTGAATTGCTTTGTCAGTGATCATATGGACTGAGATGGAAAGAATGTAAGGGAGAAAAATAGGTCTGCAATCTCGAACTAATGTTACTGAACAAATTTAACTTCATTTTGAAAGAAATGAATCAGTCGTGAACATTTTCCCAATTGAATAGAAAAACTGGACATACACAAAAGTATAGATGTCAGTACATTTGGGTCACAGGGCACATTTCGAGATTCTTGTACTGGCAGCTTGCTCAGTGGTGGCGTTTACAATACCGAGAGGTTAACAACTTGGTTGACGCCTGTCATTGTATCCCAAATGTGTAGATCGATGCTCGTGATCTCATCACTGGATTGTCTGGTCCAGACTTGAGTATTTACAGACTGCCATCATACAAAACAATATTCCAGTGTGGCGTTAGACAACAATCAAACAAAACAAGTTGTAACATAAATGGTATATAACAGACATGAATGCAGTCTCCGAGATAAGCATTTATAGTGTGGAGTTGATGCATATTTTGTCTATTCTCACAATCGCGGTGGTACATTAAAAACAAATCATGATGCCAGGTGACTTACTATTCGTGAGGGTTGTCACCCTCAACAAAAATATTTCCACCATGTCTGATGATTATCAAGTTGATGATAATTATTATTATATAGCTAACTAAAAACTATGACTAAAAACACCATCAAAACATAAAGTTTTCACACAAGTAAGTGAACACAACTGAAGCATGAAGAACTCATTGATGAATTGCGATCAGGAAAGCAGTATGTCATGATCTGACCATAGGTCATTATCATAAAATGGCCAAATCATGGAATAGGGCCTCATTTCACAAAGCAAATCATTGTGCTGTGACAGTTGTAAGTTGTATGCTAAGGTAAGGGAGTTAAGACAACCTTAGCAATCATATACCAGGGTGCAGTTGTACAAAGTGATCTTAGCGCATTGGTGACCGTAACTCCCATACCTTAACATAGACTTGTTTTGTACAATGGCACCCAGGACCCTATCCACAGAGCGTTTGTAGCTCTGCACCATTCGTAAGCCAATGATATAGTATAGAGTTACAATAGGTCGTAACGTTACGAATACTTTGTGGATCGGGAGACAGGGCCCAGTTCCACAAAACAAATCCTAGTGTAGTGACAGTCATATGTTGAATGCTATAGTTAGGGGAGCTATGACAACCTTAGCACTTCGATGTCTTTGTGTAACACACCCCTAGAATACTACCTCACACATGTGTTTGGTACCAGTTACTACAAATGGGTTTCTCACTCACAGATGTGTAAGATAAATGTTTCTGTTGTATTATATATTCTACAACCCAGTGGCCTGTGATACAAGACTGTCAGCCATTGTTATTTCTGACAGGGAGGTGGTGGGTTGGCATCGTAGATTATTGCTTAATGCATTTGCTCATCCCTGGAAGTCTATTGACTGTTTCCAATGATGGTGCAGTGTGAAAAGTCCATTTCTGGTGCCACCAAGCATTAAACTTCTGGAACATAAGGGGCGGTGGGGTAGCTTAGTGGTTTAAGCGTTTGCCAAAGATCTGGTTTCAGTTCCCCACATGGCTACAATGTGTGAAGCCCATTTCTGGTGTCCCCGCCATGATATTGCTGGAATATTGTTAAAAATGGCGTGAAACTCACTCACCCACTCATTCACTGAAGAATATAGTTCAACAGGATGGGAAAGAGTACTGATTGTATTTAAGAGGATAATTATCGTAATAATAATTTGAATTTGAATATGAATTTGCTTTACCAGTGAAATAGAATTGTTGGTGCCATGTTTTGGGAGCACCTGCATAATGTCGACTCTTATATATTACGACAAATTATTAAGTATTGCAGTATTTTAATTTAGAATTGTGTTAATGGTAACAGTTTGTGATTTGTGTGTAGATTTTTACCAGCTTACCTTCAGACTCACTAGAAAGTCAGGCTATAAATAGCTTGGTGAATCTACAGATGAAATGGTTTACTGATGTTTTCAGTAACAGCAGATGAACCTGCCAATGCAAATTACAGCAAAATTTGTTTTTATCAGAATGTGATTGGAAATAAAAGAAGAAATAACGAACACTGTGATGAAATGTGCAGCAAGATTAAATCGTATTGATTATTTTATTTTATGCATGGAGTTCATTTCCGGTTAATAACTAATTAAAATATAGTTTTTCACTCAGTGATGGATGTTGAAAAGATAAACATTTCTGTGAAATGTAGTGGTTTTACAATGCAAACTATTGCACTTGAAAACAAAATTAAGACAAGATTTTAAAAATATAAATTCATTAGTACTTAGTAATTCATTAGTAATTAAAATATACTATTCACACTTTGCTAAGGATCAAATCATGGATTCAACAGAAAATTATGATGTGGGGTCAAATCTAAGCTTATTGTAAGCATGGATCCTAGGTTTCAGTATGTCATGTCATCTTGTGGAACCCATACCTGCTATTGACAGGTGTTGTGTACTTGTCAGTGACTCGTTGATTGGTTGATTGGTGCCATGAAAACCATTTTTATGGCTACTCATGTATCAAGTGCATAAAGTTAGAATAAAGTGGCTGTCTGCCTAAAGAGGGTTTTTCATATTATTATTTATCCAGTTTTAAATGAATACAGTTTCACATTATAAATCTACGTTTAAGTAAAGTTGTGACTTTTTGTAATCCTTATCAAAGTGTGAGTAGTATAGTTTAATATACATATATCCATATCCATTAGTTCATGAAGGGCGGTGGGGAGCCTAGTGGTTCGTCACACTGAAGACCCGGGTTCGATTCCTCACATGGGTACAATGTGTGAAACCCATTTCTGGAGTAACTCACCGTGATATTGCTAGAATATCACTAAGGGACCGTTCAGAATTAATGGCTAAGGGGGGTGATGATGATTTTTATGGAGAAGCATGTACAATGTGAATGACCCCCCATAAAATTTATGTACAAAATCAATGACCACCCACCTCCCCTTCCCATAATTTCTAAGCATAATTTTAAGTAATTTTAGTACGTGTGTACAAAATTGGGGCGGTGGGGTAGTCTAGTGATTAAAGCGTTGGCTCGTCACGCCGAAGACCCGGGTTCGAATCCCCACATGGGTACAATGAGTGAAGCCCATTCCTGGTGTCCCCCGCCGTGATATTGCTGGAATATTGCTAAAAGCGGCGTAAAACCAAACTCAGTCAGTCAGTCAGTGTACAAAATTTATGACCCCGCCCAGCTCCCCAGAACAAAATGGGTGACCCCCCCCCTTCATCATCATCACCCCCTAGCTATAAATAATGAACAGTCCCTAAATACAGTGTATAACTAAACACACTCACTCACTCCATCAGTTCAGTATAAGCATGATTGTTATAAACACAGTTGTCTGTAAATGTTTCAAAAGGGTTACTTATTAGGAAAATATTTATGGCATGAATGGCATAAGTATCTATTCTGATTCCGAAGGAATGAGATCGGTTTCTCCAGTCATCATATTAGCATTGGAAAATAAGCATTTCTGTCAGGTGATCTTTGTCATTGGAACTTAGTAGATAACTTTCAAATTAAATAACTTAGAAATATATACATTGTATTGTCCAAAAATAGTTTGTACTCATTTTGTGATAATCTAGTAATTGTACTGTCCTTTGTTGTCAGGGTTTTATATAGTTTATGTATGTATTATGAATTTAGAGCTAGTTTTAGTCACGATATGGCTGAAATATTGCCGATGCGACTTTAAGTCTTAACTCGCTCACTCACTCCTCTGAAATATAATATTTTGGTATGTGAACTATTTTCTTGTCTTGAAATGTTAAATGAATTTGTGGAAATAATTCCTGGGATTCATTGTCAATAGTTCCTTATGGATACTTTTATTGATTTTTGTGAATCTGATTCAAAATGAAGATAAATGTCCTGAAATGAAAGACTTCAGTGATGTCTCACAGATTTAATTAAATATGTGATATCCTTACATGAAGATGCAGTAATGGCCATAAGATGTATGGCTGGTATTTAAGACTTAATATTGCCGGTACCGAAAGTACATATCTCCTCGTTAATACGTTGTCGTCAATCATGTTTCCCGAGGGAATCGACATCCGTTCTTGCAATGACAGTG